TGATGACATTTTTGTCCATAGTCGAGCTGAAAATGGGCGGTCAGATATTGAGAACCATATTGTTCATTTACGAGCTGTGCTCGAGTGCATGCGCACTAATAAGCTATATGCTAATGCATCTAAGTGCATCTTCGGGGCCGAGAAAATTCCCTTTCTAGGGTGCTTCATTGGGAAACGGGGCCTAAAAGCGGATCCCGCCAAGGTCAAAGCCATAGTCGATTGGCATGTTCCACAGTCTCAGAAGGACTTGCGTAAATGGCTTGGCCTTGCCAATTACTTACACAAGTACAGCGAGAATTACGCTGATATGGCTCGGCCGTTATCCAATCTCCTTAAAAAGGATGTGAAATGGTGTTGGCATGCCGAACACGAGGATGCTTTTCAAGCGGTGAAGGCGAGCCTTCTACATGCTCCTATTTTGGCTTTGCCAGACCCTGATCGACCGTTTAGTGTCGTCTGTGACGCGTCGGATTTTGCCATTGTCAGTGCTCTGTTACAAACAGATGATGAAGGCCGTGATCGTGTAATCGCTTTTGAATCTCGCCAGCTGAAAGCTGCAGAGAAGAACTATCCAGTTTTTGACAAAGAGCTACTTGCAATGAAGTATGCCCTGGTCAAATTCAGAGTTCATCTGCTGGGTTCAAAGCCTTTTGTGATCTATACCGATCATGCGTCGTTACGTACTGCGACTCAGTCGCCGCATCTCTCGCAGAGAATGGCCAGATGGCTGTCATTCTTTGCCGAATATAATTTTGAGGTAAAATATAAGCCGGGCAAGCAAAATGCTTTGGCTGATGCGTTGTCACGCAGACCTGACTATGAGCTTGCTCATGTTACGACGTTGTCGTCTTCTATCATTGATCTCGTCCGATAGGCATATGCTACTGTATAGCGTTGCTACATGCTCTTGGCAGTGATGAGTTTAAACACTCGGACATTAAATTGTCAGCACGATTACGTGCGAGCCTCCATCGATATTCTATCGATGAGGGGCTGTTGTACTATCGCACAGATGTAGCGGATCCTCCGCGTATTGTGGTTCCTCATGACGAGGACCTGAAGTATCGTATCCTCTATGAGGTACATGACACCGCCATCGGTGTTCATTTGGGTCGTGAAAAGACCTATGGGGCAGTATGCCAAAGTTATTGGTGGCCCAAATTATATAAATGGGTGAGCACATGTGTGCGTACGTGTGAAACGTGTCAACGGGTGAAACTCTCGCCCCATTCGGCAGCGCCGCTACCTAGTTTGCCTATTCCCACTGGGTGCTGGGAGTCCGTTAGTATGGACTTTGTGTTTGTATTACCGAAAGATTCGCATGGCAATACAGGTATTGTGGTCTTTATTGACCATTTGAGTAAGATGGCTCACTTAGATGCTGTGCCAGACTCGATCGATGGTGAGGATACAGTGAGCTGTTTATCGACCGAGCGTTTCGACAACATGGCTTGCCAGTGGCAATTGTTTCTGATAGTGATCCTCGTTTTACGGATAAGTTTTGTAAGTCCGTCTTCCAGGTGCTGGGCACCCGTTTGGACATGTCCACAGCGGATCATCCTCATACCGATGGTCAAACTGAGCTCGTAAATCGCGTTGCTGAAGATATCCTCCGCAGCGTTTGTGCGGAATCGCCAAAGCGATGGAGCGCTATGCTCCCTGTAGTGGAGTTCGCACTCAACAACTCCGTGCACGCTTCTACCGGCTGCACTCCGTTCTATGTCAATGGCCTCACACACCCACGCGTTCCGTTAACGCTACCACCGAGTGGTTCAGGGCTTGGTGGGGGAGAGGTTGCCGATAGGCTTGCTGATGTCAGCCCTAATACTGTTAAGAACAGGTAAATACGTTTTTCGCAACGCGACTAAATGTCTTACGACATGTGCAAGATGCAATGGCTGATAGTCAAGATAAACAAAAAGAATATGCAGATGCTAAAGGCAGAAGTGGTATTAATGATTATGAGGTCGGAGACCAAGTATTACTAAACGCTAAAAATATACCTACCAATGTAGTATCTGCTGTCTTTTGGGACGAAGTTGCGTCCGCGATTTATCGGACCCTTTACGGTCATTGCCAAGAAAGGCACAGCGTATACGCTTAACTTGCCGCGCAAATTGCGTACACATCCTGTGTTCTATGTCGGCATGCTTAAAAAGTATCGGGATCCGTCCCAAATAGACGCTAAGGCGCTCGCGCCGAGCCCATTGGCATTGTCGCAGGACGAAGCATCTGCATCAACAGTTCAAGCTGACCCTGCATTTGGGTTCGGCTCTCTTCCAGTGACTCAAGACGGGAGCTCATCGACTGCACATCCGCACGGAGAGAACGCACCTCTTGAACAAGCTCGGCATGAGCTTGTGCCGATACACCGGCCTCCTCCGGATTTGCTCGATGCGCCGGGGAACCTTCAGTTCCATGTTGAACGTCTACTGCAGAAGCGTCGCCGTCATGGTCAAAACCAGTACCTGGTAAAGTGGCGGGGTATATCCCGAGTCGCGGAAATCATGGGAGTTTGAGATTCCCCTTCGGCAGGATTTCCCATAGGTTTTGAGCGTCGTGCGCAGGGTCAGCCTGTTGGCGCTGACGCTTCTCACCAGTAGTGGTGGGGGTAGGCGAGTTAGCGGCCTCGGCCTGTCGTGGACTCGCGGCTACAGGTGTAGCCGAAACATTGGGGTGCTGAGCAGCAGACGCATAATGCGTTCGTTGAAAATTCAATTTTCCCCGGGCCTTCAATTTAGCGTAATCATAACGCATTTCTGCTCGAGTCGAAAATCTGCCACATCGGCACTTGCCCATAGGTCCCCCATGCTGCTTAAACGTCGCGCATAATGCGCCCGGAGGCTAAAAGCCGTGTCTTCTTCTTCCTCGGTTTCCCCCGCGAACAGAAGGATGGGAACACCCTTTATGGGAGGAACTGGCGCACCACGCACTTGCCTGTTAAGGCGTGCCAAGTATTGGATTTGTGTAGTAATGTGAGGTTCCAGATATCGTTGTCGAAGTGCCGTTCGTGTTGCAACATCCTCGGGTGAAATGGCCTCAGGCCCAATGGTCCAGCCAGAAAGGGAATGCCCAGATGCCTCCTTTAGGCGTTCTTCCACCGTAGGTGGTTTGAACCTGTACTGTCGGTGGTCCTGAAGTCTCGCCATATTCTTCGTCCGGCGCTTGGCACCTTCCTTTTGGTCGATGGTCTGCTGTTGCTGCTCGTCGAGTGGGTTGGTAACCGTCACCGTTGATGATACGTCAGGCGGGTCACGTAACGCTGTTAGCGCATCTGCAGCACCACGTTCAGGGAACGGATTCGGTGCATGACTAGTGTCATCTTCACCCGTGAGGGTGGATAAAGGGGACCCATCGGGTCCCACAAAGACGGTGTCACTTTCGTAGTCAACCACTTCGTCAAGGTTGTCTTCAACGAGGTCCCGAAGAGCCTGTGACTCACTGCCAGGAGGCGTCATGTTATGTGCCGTGAACAAACCGTGAGGTTTTAACGTTCGCTAAAGCACTACCTCTAAAAGGAAAGATGTCGAGTGACATTCTATGGGAACGTCAGTCTGGTGGGGGAGGGTGTAACGGGGTTACACGACGGTTGTAGCGTCTTTCCGAGAGTTTACGGTTGAACTCCCCTTTGTATTGCATATAATGCATTTTTTATACTTCTCTTTAGAGAGGTATTAAGTATGAGCGTTAAGATACGGTATTCGGTAATACCGTATCTTATCGATTAGGATTCGATAAATCGATAACGCTGTATTAAGTACATCATACACAGATGTTTAGACGATACGTCGTCCAATAGCAAAGTCTGCATATAATAATTACTATTATAGTAATTAATCTAGTGTAGTGTACTTAGAGTAGGACTATTCATAAAATCTTAAAGCATAAATAAAACCAGTTCTCCTTTTAAGTTTAAGATCGCAAGTCGTTCTGACTTGCTCTCTTGTGCACTTCGTGCGTTGGTTCTCTGAACCTCTAAGCTTCTAGCTTGTTCTTGCACTCTGTGCGCTGGTTCTCTGAACCTTAAGCTTATTGCTTGACTGACTAAAAGTCTCTTTCCTAGTTTCTTAGAACAGGGTGACTTTAGGTCGTTTAATTGGTTCCTTAGAACTAAGGGGCTGTTAGCCTTAACTTTATTTAGTTCTCTAGAACTAAGAGGCTTCCAGCCGGAAAGTCTTCCTCTGGCTAAAGAGCTGTGCAGCTCCGCTACAATTACTATAACCTTAGCCGACCCGATATTTTAAGTAAATGATGCATATATAAACTACTTCGCACTGTCGGAACGACCGGTGAATGCCCCAATGAAACGCTGCGTTAAAGTTGCCCATATACTATTAGCGTAGACCTAGCACGCATGTCCAACGGGTGAATACTCAAGCATATCACTGCGCTTAAGGTGCCTATATAATCTAATATGCACCGTCGGAACGACAAATAAACATCCTAGCAGATTGCGCTTACAAAGCCTGTATATACAACTTCGTACCGTTAAAACGACAGGTGATCAAATGAAACCTTTACGAAACGACGAGTACACATTGCCTTCATATCCATCTATATTTTGAGTCAATCTAATTATCTAACGTAAGTTGATGAGTTTCAGGTCAAAAGGCAGACCATGTCTGTCGAAACATCGGGTAAACACCCTAATTTTCGAAACGACAGGTATATATTGACCTTCATACACATAACCTTTGATACTATTCAATTACCTAAGTCAATATACGATCAGCGTCAAATTTGTGCACCTATCGGTCGAAACGACGAGAACACCCCTATATATGTATTAAAATAGCATAAAACCATGTCCGTCGGAACGACGGATACACACCCTAGTCGTATTATAATTAAATACAATGTCCATACTCGTCTCAATAAATTAAACCTTGTTTTGACAACGTTATCTGAGCTCACAGCGTCATATTTTTCAAAAATTTGAGGTGGTTGATGGCTTAGACAAATTAAAAATTGTGAGGCAAAAACGTACATGCCTAAATTCCATGGCATCGCCGTCGTCCACGACCCTGCCCCGTAGTCACTTCCCCGATCTCTCCACTTCTACTGATGCTAAACGAGTGTCCTATCTCGATGTCTCTACTACACTTTTCCACAAAAAACGAATGCTCCGCCGCAAAGCGCACAAACGCGCTGCCATTTCCAGCAGCTTCGCTAAGCGGAAAGAGCCGATTTTAAAGTATCTAAGCCCCTCCATGAGCTCTTTACCAGCTTCAAAATGGATCCATTCCGATTCAGCTGAAGATGCAACAGTTGTTAAGTCATTAGCGACGCCAAACAAACGTCTCAAGTCAAATCTCCATGTCCAGACGGACTTCTCGGCAACGTCCTCACCGTCGTCTCCGTCCAATTTTTCTCCTGTTGCACCACTATGTAGAAGCTCCCCATACCCATCATCAGCTACAGGAATAGCTACAGGACCTAAGATCGTCCAGGCACCCTCACCGAAGCCTGTAGCTGCTGTGGGTCTTTCAGTCAAACCACCGGCCCCTCATCCGTTCCGATTGTCGGACTTCTTTTACAAGGAAATTTTCGGCGTTCATGACATTAAAGAGGGTGATGGCGTGCATTTGGAACGCGTGCAGAATTTTTTTGTGGTGCCGTTTAATACCGAAAAGTTATTTCTGTATGGAGTGCTACTGGCTCTAGATAGCTTTCTCTATGTGTTCACATACATGCCCCTGAGGATTCTATTTGCGTGTGGATGCGCTGTAACGTCGAGTTTTCAAGCACGGGTCTTTCGAAGAACGCACTTCTACGACTTAATGGTGGCAGTCATTATGACAGTGGGGACCACAGTTTTGGGACATGTGGACATGTCGAGGGTCTACCATGCGATTCGCGGCCAGGCAATGATCAAGCTCTATGTGCTGTTTACAATGATCGAAATCTTTGATCGCCTTTTCTCATCGTTTGGCCAGGATGTGCTAGACTCGTTGTATTACACGTCCAAATACCACCCCCATCGAGTAATGCGCATGTTCCTGGACTTTGCAGTGGCGATAATCTACGTGGTGCTCCATTCGCTGTTGCTGTTCGCACAGGTTGTAACCATGAACGTCGCAGTCAATTCAAGCAACACTTCACTGCTTACGCTGCTCATATTCAACAATTTTACGGAGCTCAAAAGTTCCGTCTTTAAGAAATTTGAGGAGCAGAATCTTTTTCAGATCAGTTGCAGCGATATCGTCGAACGGTTTAAACTTCTCACGATTATTGGGCTCATTCTGCTGCAGTCATCTACAGGAGATGTTGCCTGGGGGACGGTAGGATGCTTCGACACCTCTTAGTTTTGTCCACTGGTCTTTGTTGCTTACATGTTACACTGTGTAGGCCATGGTATGGGTGGCGGAGATGCTGATCGACTGGATCAAGCATGCATTTATTACCAAGTTCAACCAGATCCCGCCCACAATGTACTCCAAGTTTATCACGATTCTTTGTCGCGACCTTACGGGCTGGAAGAGCGAGGACACAATTTTAGACCACACGCACCACGTGTCCAAGCGGCTGGGTCTCATGTCGTTGCCTTTGGCGTGTGTGGTGTTGCGTATGCTATCGAAGGCTCTAGCGGACGCTCCAATTGAGTTTACGTCGCCTAGCGGTGTATTAGTCACAGTGGCGTTTTTCCTGTGTTTAGCAGCATTTAAAGCGCTGCTGAGTCTTGTGCTGATGATTTACGCCTGCAAATCGGGCCGATTAGATGACACACGTCCGAAGAGTCCGCGGTCTGTGCGCCACTTCGAGTCCATCCACCGATACAAGTTCTGAGCAGTATTCGTAGTGCTACTTTTTGTGAGGACAAACGATAGACGCCTGATCTATTAAACACATTGTTGTATGCTGTGTTTTAGTCGTTTTTCTCATGTTAGAATACAATGTTGCACACAAGTGGAAAAGCATTTGTTTTTGACAAAGTGACGCCTTGTTGATGAGCGTCTTACATGGAATGTTGTTGAGTGAGTAAGGATAGCAGCGCCATTGCTTGGATGGAGTGAATACAGTTTTGTGAAAAACAGAAAAATGATTACAATATTTTCATACTTTAAGAATCTGCAAGGAAAACCGGCGTAATACTACCTAATCCCTTAATCAATCAATCACTTAAATTAGAAAAAACTAAATAAGAAGTGTCTAATTTTGGTCTTCCTCTAATTTTACAGTAAATACATGGTGAGCCACGATTGGACAAAATGATGGGGTGAATGCATAGTTAGAGCAGGACAAAAACGAGACGGATGGCGTCGCGAACACAAGTGATTTCTATTTGGCGATGTGCCGCAGTTGTATAAATATACAGAGACCACCCGTCCAATCGGATCAGTGGTGTATTGTCGAACGGTAAATAAGCACATTAGCAAACAAATATTTTGCGTAGATTTATTAAAAATAGTCCATTCTTAGGCTTTTACGCCTCGTTCTGTTATGACTTGAATGGTGAAGCGAAGCGAAGAGCATACAAAGAAAAGGAGAAAATGGAGCAAAGAACACCTGTTTACTGGAAGGAAGATTTGAAGTGATTGATTTATTGGATCTTACTCTAGCCTATGCATGATTTATATGTGGACCTCATATAAATCATGACAATTGTTTACTTAACCAACTCGTCTAATCAACCCTGACTGATCATCGTAAGAACTATGCCGTTGATGAATTATAAATTGTTATAATAATCTTCAGTTGGCCTCCTTAATTCAAACCCACACTCTAACGAAGCTAGAACGTACCGTCACTAGCTCACACGTGCGATTGAGGAAGACTCAAGCCTAAATATTAGGAATTAAGCAAATTAAACTCTGATTTTTAGTTTGTTTTTAATTCGTACTAATTACGAAGATTTTTTAGTCGTAATAAATACGACACCTTTTGGGAACCACACATGTCAGGTTGATTTACATATTGGGCCTTTAGGCCCTAATAATAAACCAATAATCAATTGCCAGGCTGTGCCCGCTATTCGGGCACAGCACCTGCCTACATATGTAATTGTTTATTTATGTCAATGTTATTTGTGTAATGTAGCTCATTACATCACCCCCTTCTCATGACAGCACTCACCAACCGTGAGTGCTCAACTGTCGAAATCCATCGCTCACAAACGAACAAGTAATGTCCGAAGACCCAACACCCAATTATGCAGCACTCCCACGCACCATCAGCGAGAGTGCAACTACAAGCATCATGGCGAAGCAACTCATAATGTATGACTTATCCGAAACTCGCGCTTCGGACTCACTGGAAACGATGCGGGACGACTTCCGGCGTTTTCGCAAACTGCGTGGAAAGAGTCTTGATGGAATTGAATACAATAACCTGCAACGCTCTTGTGCGCCTTCATCCGACGTTGGAATCGGATGCGCGAGGATGGTAGCAGCTTTCAACTGTGGCTCGCCAATCGAGAGAACTTCGCGCCGATCGCTCCATCGGCGCTGTGTGAGAATGCTTGAAATAAGGACCGCCTCTGCTTCGTTCATGTCAATGAAGGATCTTAATCTTGTGACTCGACGCCACGCTCAACTCATGACGAATGGCGACAACACATCACTGAGTGTCCACTCAGTGATCGCGAACGAAGTTGGCTTGCAAAGTATGAGCGAAGTCTGAGCGAACGGAGGACCGCAGTTATTTGTGGTGCACCTCGTTGGCAACACCACTCGCGATCTCCGCTGAATAATCAGCGCAGGGCAGCGACACGTTCGCCTGCTCGTCCTGCTGCGCAATTCTCGCATCGTAATCGTGGTGATATATATTAACCACGATGTTCTCGTTTACGTCATCGCTCTCGTTCTGGTTCTCGACGGCGCGGTTCGCCCCACCGCTCTCGTTTATCACGAGAGCATTCGCATTCGCGTTCGCGTCGGAATAGCCCGACTCCACGGTCTCGTATGACTGAACAATATCTGGAACGTCGCGAAGAAGAGAGGAACTTGGCTCCCACGTATCCTGCTCGGGTGGAAATCCAACCCAGCGTACACCTGCGCGCGATGAAACCGCGCTTTTCTCATGAGCCGTATGTAGCACTGCTCTGGGAGGGTCCTCGTGACCCACAATGCGGTCTACATTCCATCGTACTTACCCTTCCGCATCCACAAGCGGTGGTGTGCCCTCGCGACGGTAATGCTTGCGTCCCGGTTGCCCAGGACGATGTTGATCAGGCCGTAAACAAGGCTGCCGATGCTCAGCTGAACTTGAGGCTGCCCTTAAGCGTGCTGCACAGGCACAGAAGACCGCAAAAAATATTATGTAGTCTAAATGTGAACTGCTCGAATGGGTGAGGGTTCTGGAGATCCAGGTCATTGGTCGTGCACAGACGAAATGGCAACCGCGCCCGATATCATCGGCGCCTAGAGCACGACGGGAATACCGATCGACCTACGGACCTTTCGGGGTCAAGCCGTGAGGTGTAGCCGGGCGATAATCCTATAGCCACCCTGAGTAGAATGTCGGTTGAAGCCGCAATGATGAGGGAACATCGAGTGTGTAAGCATCTCCGATTGCTTTCAAAGCTTGAATGTACCGATGAAGCGTGGCGCGAGCAAACTCGCGCCTAAGTAAGTACCCGCTGATCCCTTATAATTTCAGTAAATATTAATACACGATCGCCTTTTTCAAACTAGTTCATGTCCTTTCATCCATGTTTGTCAGCGTTCTCTTGCTGCTGATCTACTGCAGACTTTAGTGCGCCGCGTACAAATCGGTTAATGTCTTGACGTTGGAGTATAAACTCCGACACAGCCATGTCATCAATTGGTCGCGCCGACTAAATCGGCGCGTAGTTGGCGGTTGACGAACGCTTAAAAGACGATGGATTGATTGATGTTTGTGCAATTGAAGCAGCAGTCTTCGCCTTCGATCGGTCACCACATTCGCGCTCTAGTTACCGTGAGCTGCACTCGGTACTTTGAACGCTGCACTCGGTCCTTCTTTATCACATTTATCCCCCCCAAACCTGAAGCCATTAGGTACCGTGGGTTACCTCATGCCAAGATTAGTAAGAACTCGAGGGTGTCGAGCTGAATTCACAAAAAATAGCGTTTACACTGTTGACGCGTGTACGGTGTTGTTGAGTGCGGACTCAGAAAGTAGTAAAAATGCATGATTGACGTACATAGCTTCGCAAAACATCTTCCAGGACCCGATTTTCGCGCTCGATTTGCCCATCCAATTTCGGATGGGCCACTGTCTACATGTGCAGCTTTGTCCTGAGAAGCTCGAACAGTGACTGCCAATTTGCGGATGTCAATCGCGGATCACGGTCCGAAACAACGTTTTCTGGAAAGCCATGATGACGGTACACCGCGTCAATGAAATGCGCCGCGGGCTCTACCGCAGTGATCTCATCGTGATCAGGCACTAGATATGTCATTTTGCTTAATCTGTCAACAAAATCCAGGACACCCGTTCGAGCTTGATAATCGATAATGTCCGCATAATCTAAATCGTTCTTGAACGCTGCGACGATCTCGTCAAATAAACACAGCTCGGGTGTGACCTGAGTTAAGTTCAACGATACACACATCACATATCGATCATCATCATCATCTTCATCAGTCGCCTGAAGACTCAGCGCAGTACGAGATCGTTTTTCGGGCGTCGTGACAGAGCTTCGGCGAAAACATTGGTCTTGCCTGGCTTGTAATGTACGACAAAGTTATACCCAGAGAAGAATGAGAGCCATCGTGCCATCTTTTGGGGCAGGTGTAGACTCTTCATCGCTGTGCGCAGCGATGCATGATCGGTACACAAGGCAAATGTACGTTCAGCAAGCAGATGCACGCGAAACTTGATGAGCGCGTAGCGCATTGCTTGCAACTCCTTGTCGTAAACCAGATAGTTCTTCTCAGCTCTTTTATCTGTCGCGACTAATAGCTTACGTTTCGTTCATAGCCCTCATCTTTATATTGCATGAGGGAACAACTGATTGCGAAATACTTGGCATCGCAAACCACGTGGGACGGCTTGGAGTCGTCTGGAATGACCAGTACTGGCGCTGACGCCAGGCTCTTCTTCACTGCGTCAAAGGATGCTCTATGCTCAGTACGCCATGACCACGTGGCGTCTTTCTTTGTGAGTGGCGACAAAGGCTGTACAAATTAGCATTTTCCTTTGTATATTTATGCAAGTAACTAGCCAAACCGAGCCACTGGCGCAACTCCGTAGGATTCTTGGGTGTGGGCCAAGAACAGATTGATCCCTGCGCTTATTATTCTACAAACTTGTATGATTTCATGACGATGTGATGTGATGCTCCACTGCCCACGTCCCACATCCCATCTACGCCCTTGCTTCTTAATACTACACGGTACAATGAAGCTGCAAATGCCACTCGTTTGTATCTGTTCTCTTATCATGCCACTCCACTGGACATATTTTTTTCCCGCGTCCGAGGCCATCTCCGCCGCGTCGGTGTTCTCGACTTTAACCTTTTGTCTGTCTAGAATCGACCCACCGTGTTTCCTAACTTGCCTCAAACTTTTACACTGGTTAGTTCTACATTTAATTTATGATGCCTTCGTTACATTTTCAGTTCTCACCGTCGTCTTTGTCGCCGTCATTTTTCGCCTGGTTGCTTTGGTGGTTCGTGAAGTCGGACCTTGACCACATTTTGAATGCGTAGCTCTGCATTGCCCATCTATGAGTTCAAACTCACATTCTCATTACTCTTCGAAAACACGCGCAGCAAGCATATCGCTATGTCTTCATCCTTCATCTTGGCGCTGATGTTTACGGTTTCATTGCAGTGATGCAAGATATTTCCTTCTTCTGCCATC